GTTTGCAGGTTGTGGTAGGGTAAGAAAACAAGAGCTGGTGTCGGTGTGCCCACAGAAGGTGTAGGAAGTGCCCCAGCCCACAGAAACACGAGACACTTGGTTTAGCTCAGAGTACTGAGCAGGACCAGGTTTCTGATGCATTTATAAGGTCATTTGGAACAGTGGGCACAGGATGCTCAGTACCTAAAGGACAGCCATGGATGGCACATAATCAAAAGCTGAAATGTTACTTTCATTTAAAACCCACTGCAGAAAGAGTAAAGAAGAAAGGCTAAGAGGGCTTAGTATGTCAACTGTCAAAGCAATAATTTAGCACTGGAAGTTTAAGTGACCTTGAAAAGTAAATATTTCTTTATATACTGTGACATGGACAAACTAAGCACAAGGCAAAAACTGTTGGGTTTGTGCTCAGATAGATTTCAAAGGAAGCCCTCTGTTTATGGTTCAAGAACAAAAACTCAACAAGGAAACACAAACCAGGCCTTAATACAATGTTTGAATTTAATTCTGAAGTTTATAAAATGCTCACAAATAAAAAATCCCATTCAATATATTTCTGTTCTGCAGTCCTGATTATGTTTATTTAAGTTTTCTAAGGAACTTTCTAAGGAGGCAGTTTAATAATACATTCTTTTCCTCTATCTCTGTTTAGGGAAAACTGTAGTTATTGACAGTATGAACGCTATGCAGAGATTGAAAAAACTCCAGTGAAACAAGCAAATGATATTGGAACAGTTACTGAGAAGGAAGGAATGGCTCTATCTTAGACACATAAAGGCAGCTTTTGTACAAACAGTTCTGGCTGAGCTGTCACAGGGATCTCTGTTGCAGGACTTCTGGGCTTTTTTGGCCTAATGGAGATCAGTCCCACTCCAGCTTTCCAAAACAGCCCATGTAGCTGTGGAGAGCACGACAGCAGCAGAACACTGAGCACACCCTGGCAGCTTCACACAATGTGAAAATCCCTGGTTCAGGTACCTGCAGAACTGCTGAGGATGATCTTATGAGATATGAGCCACTAATGGCACACTGCAGTTTAGTTGTGAGCTGAGGAAGTCACGTGCTGTAACTTGGCTGAAATATTTACAGCTCTTAGTTCAGTGGAGGACAGTGTATATGTCTCTTTCTGTCTCTATGCATTGTTCACTTGCTCTGTTCTCATAAATCATAACACCATTGCTGTTCTAGTGTTTAAAAAAGACCTTTTCTGAAAATATATTGCTTTGGGACTTTACCCAAAACAAGTTATTGAAATGTTATGTTAGGATTTAATGAAAGTTTTGATATTTCACAAACTGTTTATAAAGAATGTAATACTTTGGCAGTGGTGCTACAGCAAATAAAAAGGGAAACAGAAAGGAAAATCACACAGTTCAAATCAATCCCAGAAAATCTCAATGTTTACAAGCACAAATGCTGTTTTATATTATGTTTTCAAAATGTTTAGATATCAAGAGATTCTTTTGACCAAAATGTCTGTCAAGATAAGCATGAAGAAAACTACAGAACAAAGCTAGGTATATATTTTAAACTTTATGTGTAGTCTCCAGCAAACCCAAATTTATTGATTTGCACTAGACACATGCAAAACATTCACTCCATACCCACTGGAATAAAATCTTCAAGAGCAAAAATTTAGAAAGCTACTGCACACAGATTAATACTGTGATTTGAGTGCCATAAAATCAGACATAGCCTTGGTACCACTAAAGTAAATACATGATTTTATATTAACTAGTGCTAATTTGACCTTGCAGGAATTTACAGTTAATCTGGTATATTTGCAACAGGTGCAACCCACAACCAAGTCATGTACTGCATTCTCTGAGATCTCTTACATGCCCAAGTCTGACCCAGAGGGAGTGACTGCAGTGCCAGTGTGAGTCACGCTGGAGGCCCCAAGTTCTCTCTCTTCACGCAGTACTTCAGATGTTCAGCCAGCTGCAGCCACACCCTTATACTCGCACGTTTTAAACCAGAAAAGCGAGATATCACCGAGTGCAAAACATGTTAGCGTTACAATTGCACTTGGGACTCATTGGATTTTTCCCGATAAGACAGCTTATCTTCCCTTCTCAATATACAACTTTGATTACTAACGAAGAAAGCTGAAGTTAAATAATGCTGCAAAAAGGACTGTTTTGTCACCTCTTCTTTTGTTTTGTTAGCAAGTGTCATTCCTCCTGAGCTGTGACTTTCTGAATTAGGGAAATAACTATAATGAGTTGCAGAACACACATTTTCCTGTGGACGTCTTTATCTATAACATGGAAATGTAGGTTTGCTCTTGCTGCTGCCACTGAAGAACTTCAGTGTGTGGGTGGCAGCAGTTCAGTTCAGAAGCAGCAGCCACCATACATCCTCCTACCCATACAATGTACCCTGCCAGCTCTTTAGACTTCTTCTGCAACTCAGTGTTCTGTTCCTGCTCACTTTCTCCCTTCATTCTTGCTGCACTTCTTGTGGCAGGCTGAACCTCCAACTTCTCATGTGAGGCAGTGCTCAGTTTTGCTGGGAGAATGCTAATATGAATCTTGACAAGTCACTGATAAAATAGCCTCTCCACTCCGAGGCAGGACTGTTAACCTCTGCAGCATCCCCAGCTGCTGAGAAACATTCTTTGGTTCTTTTAATACACTCCAGGAAACTTTCACATTTCTCACTGCATACATGGTGTGGTTTTTACACAATTTAATTGAAAGAGGGTAGCCTTAGATTAAATGGTACAAAGAAAATCTTCCCTGAGGGTGGTGAGGCACTGGCAGAGGTTGCCCAGAGAGGCTGTGACTGAACCATCCCTGGAAATGCTCAAGACCAGGCTGGACAGGGCTTTGAGCTACTCGGTCTAGTGGATGGTGTTCCTATCCACAGGAGGGGGCTTGAAACGACAGGATCTCTAAGGTCCCTTCCAACACAAACCATTCTATGATTCTGCACTGTCCTCCTGAAGGATCTAAGCAAATTGAACAGGACCTTCGCTATCTGTAGCTACTGTGATTCATCAGCTCTTGGAGAGACAAGAGAGAAGACAGAAAAGAAGTTACTCTCCAAAAGGAAATCTCCACGAAAGCAATGATGAAAATGTTGCTTTTCCCTCTACTTTTGAATTCCATTCCCATGGCCTATCCTCAGTATTGGGTGAACTTGAAGATAGCAAATTAGTTCATTCTTTCCCATTTGAGTAAGACCCTGCAGCTATCATGGGAGTAGGCAGGGGAATTGCTGAAAATGTTCATACTTGCTCAGAGTATTGTTTGTTAATGTTGTTTTGTGGTTGAATCCACCAAAGATACCAAGGATTCTCTGCAGACAGGCAGTGGGAAAAGAAGAAAATATGCATTATTTCTGTTTGGCAGTCTGGAGTTACCAAAATGAAGAGAGGGCACAAACTTTTAGGGTGTTGTAAGGTGACTGTACTACTGTGCAGTCTCTTTGCCAAATGATAATATTGGGTTGTTTTCCTTTTTGCCTTTTTACCCAGCACCAATGTAACATGCCCTTGCAAATATACGGAATTCTTCAGGTCACCCAAAGAGGCTCATGGAAGAAAGAAGAGGCAAAATCTATAAATACCATAAATTATCTTTCCTTTTAACAGTAACTTGTGTGATGAAGAATTGGCCAGGTCATTTGGTGATACTTTGTACTGGTTAAAAGTTCAGCGGTTCAACAAAACAGGGAGAAGGACTTTTTTTCTGTTCTGTATCTTGGTGCTGCAGCAGCCAAGCTCCTATTTCAAACCTTTCCTTCCTCATCAATCACTACAGCACCACGACTTCATGGGAAGCAGGGTGGCAGTTTAATGAGAGCTTTAGAGAGCTGGCCAGTCTCTATCCTTGAAGGCTTTCAAGGGCAGCTTGAGCAAGGCCATGACTGACCTGCAATACCACAGGTCACAATTCTGCTCCAAGTGGAAGGCTGGACAGGGTGGATCCCAGAGATCCCTTCCAACCACCACTTCTAGGACTATGCTGCCACAGTGACCCCCAGACAGTACATTATGCCATCTAATTACCTTTATGTTTATGTTTAAGGGACTAGTAAAGCATCCTTCCTTTTCATTTGGGGTTACTCTGCTTGCCATCCAAGCACTTTACACAGTGAAGATTTCTAAGGTACCTTTTAGATTAAAGATTTCTAAGGTACCAGAGTCTGTCACACTTTGTTTACCTCTTATTTTACTGGATCGGGCACCTTATTCTTCTTACCTAAAAATGGCAGACTTTTTCTGATACTATAGGATTGTCCTCTCCATTCTTACAAAATGGACTTTTTACCTTACTGAACACAATTCATATTCTTGCTGTTAGACCTGCACAGTTTAGTGGTTACAATTCAAATAGATCCACACATACTCATCTTCCCAAGGGACAACAAAATCCAAAACAATAGCCCAGAACCCCTGTGGTATATGAACCAAAACTGCTGAAGCAGTATGACACAGCTGAGTAAATTCTCCATCAGATCAAATCTCTGTTGGCACAAGGTGGCACTCAGGTACTGGAGACACTGGGTTAACAGCCAGTCAAATCTGTTTCTGCAGCAGACTTAAAGGATGCTACCATGTTAGATAATTCATAAATCCAAGTGTATGTGTCTCAAACTTGAGTAATAACAGTAGTCAATAAGCAGCTAATTTCAAGTGCCAAGCCCCTAGCATTAAGCCTTTTAAGAAAGCAGACTCCAGTCAAAAAAGCTAATGCCAAGTTATAAATAAAATTCTGGGGTACAAGTGCCCATACACTGTTGTGCAAGGTATTGTAAAAGATTAAATCATCAGAGAACACGTGTACTGTAGAATGACACATATTTGCAATGTACTGTCACAGTCTTTTAAAATGGAAATCTAGATTTATTTATGAAGGAGACATAAACAAACCTAATCACAAGTCTCTGACATGAATCTAGTTATTTATTCTGCAAAAGGACTTCTTTTTGAAGACTACAATGCAAAGTAGTGTTTTATGTAAAGAATGAAGCCCTAGCAATAGTTCATAATCTGCCACACATTTGAATGGAACCCAGATAGAAGCGTTTCATATTGACATATTTGATAAATTAGATCCATAATCAGCATCAGCACATTCTTAAATGAAAAAAACAAATCAGACTTGCATTTATCAGTAGATGGAGGAGTGTCAAGCAAAAATGCAGAAAAAATATTTAAAAGCCCCAAATTAATATTTTTAACCCTCTTCTGACCATTTCTTCTCTAACAGATTCTGTGCCACATTTTGCACATAGGCAGTATGGGTAACACAGAACGTTCCTGTTGGCCTCTCCTCATTTTGTCTCCTTGCAAGATACTTCTTATGTCTTCTTGAACAGCCTTCATTTATACTACTTCAGTGCGTTGCTAGGACATCAAGAATCTCTGAGAATGAAAGTTATGTGTGGTGGCATATGGTCACCTTAGCCTGGGTATATTCACTGCAAATAGAGCAACGAATTGCAGAATGTAAACCTCATTAGTCAGGTTACTTAGAAAGATCCAATGGAGGAGAAGATACTGGTTTGAAAAAGTGATGTATTTTTGCAGCTCTTCTCCCAAGAGTGGAATATTTTTGAAACTTATTTATAGTGCAAATAAGGTACCATACAGTGAAACTTCCCAAGCTGCATTATCAGGGTGGTTTGGATATATAAGTTCAACCAGCCACTCTGAAATAAACATATTCAACGGCCGTTAAAATCTCGATACTGACTGATTTTATTGGATCATATCCTCCAGCTCTCTGGGATGTAAATTTCCGGCCATAACCTGTGCAGCAATAAACTTCGTTCAGCCACAAGAGTGTGCATGTGAGAGGATTGCAAATCTGCTCTGCCAAACCAGAATTAGCCGGTATCGCAGGAATGAAAGAGCGTGGAGATTTGAAATTGCAGAGAATGGAGACAAGGCGGTGCAGAGGACGAGCTGCCCGGGGAGCAGGAGGCCCCAGACCGGTGCCGCACTCTTATGGAAAATAAAGCCCCAGGGTGGTGAGCAGGGGCGAGGC